GGATAGGGCCATTCCTTCAGAGTCCAGGGGCGGCCCCGACAAGCCTGGTCGCCCTGGTGCGAGCCCTGCAGGAGGATCTTGACGGCTCATCCCACCTCAGCCCACCCCCGCGTTCAGGCGATCGCGAGGGCCTGACCATCACGATGCGGTGGCATCCGTTGGTCTCCCCTTCACTCGCCAAGATGTGTTTACAACGCCTCCTCAAGATCCTTCAGGAGGCAAAGCACTCGGCGGATGGCAGCGGCGCCACCCACCGAATTGGGAAAGAGCCATGGCTATCCCAAATCACGCTGTGGGAGATCTTTCGGTGCGCGTTATGTCGCTTTCCGTCCCCTCTGGAGCACACATCGGGCCCCGCCATGGGGGAGTGGGGGGTCTCCAACCCCGAGCTCGCGCTGCTTGCGATGTCCTGTCTGAAGTACGGCGCCTCCTACACCCAGTTGTGCGCGCTGTATGCCTATTTCGCCTCGGAGGATCCCCGTCAGAGGGTGCTGACCCCACAAGTCGTGACCAAATTTTTGGCGAACTGCGAGGCCCTTTTGCCCCCGCCTCTGCTGCTCGCGCTGAGTTCGCCCCAACGCACCGCGGGAGGACGGGCGGCCCAGGACGAAGGGTGCGCCCTGCAGTTTTTCTTTGTCGATAAAGGGGCCACCGTGGGGGCCGCGATGGCGACCCTCACCCGAAGCCAGAATGAGGCGGGGCTGGTGGAGATGGGCCTTGCGCACGGATCCGCGGTCTTGGAGGCGCTAGGGAGGAATTCCCGACCGCAGGGGGCGGGCCTGCCCGGGTGGGCCCCACGCGAAACCGTCTACGCCGTCTACGCCCGCGTCCAGGCCGGGGCGGTTTCGCAGGCCATCACGGGCCTCTCCAGGCTGGGGAAAAGCCGCGCGGAGGGGTGGGTGAACCTCCCCGCGGCGATCGCCCAGGTCATCTCGGCCGTCGCGCGGCTTGTCGGGGTGAAAGGCGCGGCCTCCGACGTCGGCCCCCTTTACTGCGCCATCGTCCACTTTCACAACGCCGGGATGGGGATCAGCCGGTTTATGGAGGAGGTCCTCGCCGGGCTCTGTGAGCGCCTCCTCCACAGCAAGGATGCTTCCCCGGACCCCCTCACCCCGCAGGAGGTGGTCAAGGGGGTTCTTCCGGTGGTCCGCGCCGTCCTGGCGTACCTCGGCGACGACATGAATGCCGATTTAATCCTCCGACTTCTCGAGCAGGCCGTCGAAACGCGGGGAATGGCGGTGCCGCTTTGCACGGCGCTTTGGACCGCCTTCGCGGAGGCCCCCGGGCTGGCGATCCGGGACTTTGTCCAGCGCGTGGAAGGGGGGGTGCCGTTTTTACGCTATTACGCCCTCTGCTATGCGCGGGATCGTGGGGAAAGCCAGACGGTCGAGCACCTCTGCGTGATTTGGCATATCGACAGCGCCGCGCTGCTCCAACGCCGGGCCCCTCTCGGCGTGGCGTACAAACTCTGGCGGTGCGCGGTCTGCGGGCGGCCGAATAGCGATCGCTTTAATTATTGCCTGTGTTCGGCCCTGCGAAACGGGTTTGTGATCTGCGCAGGGTGCGGCTACGGGCAGGACGAGCGCTGGCCCGCCTGTTTGAGCTGCGGGGCGGAAATGAAAGCGGAAAATATCGCGGCGGCGGTGCCCCGCAAGGCGTGGTGGTGCTCGCATTGTCGAGCGCACAACCCCGCGCGGCAGATGCTCACGTGCTTTCGCTGCGGCCGGCTTTTCGGGCCACTACTCCGGGACTACCCCAAATCGACCTCGGGAAGGGGGAAAGGGGGGAGGAACGATCCTCGGGCGGCATCCAAGGTGACGTTGAAGACCTTTTGCGATTGCCCAAGCTCCACCGAGGCCGTGTGGTGCGCCCATCGTGCGGGGCATTGCCAGCGGTGTGGGATGGTGAAGATGAAATACGCGGCCGAGCAGGCGTCGTCGTGGCGGTGTGAGGGCTGCGGGGCGACGTGGAGCGCCCTCCAGCGGGCGTGCCCGCGGTGCCCACAGGTGGAATGCCTGCCATTCGCCGTGCAGGCGGCGGCGGACGACGGCATCGCCCGCGACCAGGCGGACCAAGCGAGGTTGGACGCCCCCCCNCCCCCCCCGCGCGCGCCG